TAAGATAAATATTATAAGTGATAAAAGTAATTCAGATGTATTATTCTCAGAGAAACTTTATGAGATTGGCAGCCATAGTCACTGATGTTTTAAGAATGATCATGCTAAAAGGTGGTTGTAGGGATGAGATGGCTTCATAATTACAGTAGAATGAGCAGTCCCATGAGATTTGAAGAACTCTTCCTTTCTACTACAGTTGATAACAAAATCATAACTGAAAAAATTGAATAGAATGATATTATTAATCTCCTGTAATGATATTATTAAGCTCCTGTGACTAATACTAGAGTGACTAATGCTATATCAAACCAATAGATGCTAAAATAAGATCTCATTGTGGTTTTTGTTAAAGTATATATTTTGGTTAATAGAGAAAAAGAACTGTAGGAACTGAGTTTTCTTTTCAATTATATTACAGCTTCTGTGTACATAGATGGGCAAAAAATAAACAATTCCACCTATAGATGCTAACATTTTGAGAAGTCTAGAAAAGAGAAACAATAATAACTATTCATTAATTCTAAGAAGAAAACATAAGCACATATGTCATAAATTTAATCATAGTAATTGGCCTGCGACACCATAGATCTCATATGTACTAAAATTAAGGTTAATAGCTAAATAAGTAGTATAAAACAAATATTATGCTCAAATGACCAATACTTTCGGGAGTTACCAGTTAGAGAGTCGGTGCTAGGTGTGAAAAGAGAAAGGGAAGGAAATAAAACACAATTGAAATTATAGCAGCAGAAGAAATAGATCAAGTGATACCATATAGAAGCAAAAACAAGGAGTAAAGGGAAGCCATAATATAGAAGCAAAGGAAGATTAGGGGAAGAGGTTAATATGAGATTAGATTGTGACATTAGTTGATAGAGACAGAGAACAGCTGGTCCCTGTGTCAGTTAAGTTTAGGCAAGCCTCGTATATAGTAACAAGTAACCTCCAAATGTTTAATGGCTAGCATAGTTAAATGTTTAGTTATCATTTTAATTCTATACAACAAAGACACAGCTTTCCTCCATCCCTTTTCTTTGCAGACTCTAAATGGTTAAAATTCTGTTCTTGGCTATTTTAAAACTAATTAAATGCCTAAAGCTTTGAGGTTACTTGGCCCCAAGAGTCAGAGTCATCTTTGGATCATTTAAATAACATTATATGATCTGAAATAACCTACCATTATTCTTAGATGCACCTACATATATATATATATATATATATATATATATATATATATATATATATATACAGATATTTACATATACCCTTCAAGTACCAGCAACAATACCGATGAAATGCAGATAGGAACAGGAGAAAGAAAATTTAACCATTTTTTTAGTAAACCCAAAGCCACGAGTGAATGGTGAATCTCAGCAACCCTATAAGGAATTTCTGAGGCTGTAAACCTTTACAGGAGCAGACAGTCTCTCCTTTCTGCCACAGACTAGGTGGTAGGTTTTAACAACAGCTTTGCGGTTAACAATGCATTGCTGAGCCAACAGTGACATGAGCCCTCTGTTTGGTGAGAATGACATAATAAAATCAAAGTAAGTCTTGATAACGAACGATATCAGGAAAGACACCAACCATGGTAAGATAACTTTTGATGATTCCAATTTCAAATGTCATACATGAGTTATAACCAATGTAATAAAAACTATTTCTCCACACCTGACACTGCAATGGGGCTTCAAGTAATGGAAAAATGAAGTAGAAAGATGAATTTTTCACTAATTACACATTTTTTAAAATTGTGATTTAGCTGGAGATTTACACTTCAGATAATCAAGTTTGTATTCAGCAACTTAAAGTACTTCTCAAACCTCCCAATAGCTTGCCCTGCACCTTCTTTGCTTTCTGTTCTCCTTCTCGTAGAATGGTACCTACCCTTTCACCATAGTTAACACTTGTCTACCCTCTTGTCTAGCCTAGAAGGTGCATCACCTTCTCTCTTGCCAGGCCCTTCATATTCAGAATTACCCCACGAAGAAAACCGGAATTGTGCTGGGCAGAGCAGAGCTTTTGAAGTGTGAATTTTTCTGGCTAAGCGAGCATCAAGCAACTTGCTCTGGGTTAGTGCACCCAGTGGCCTCACCCAGGAAGGTGCTCTCAAGTCACAGAGAAATGTTTCGTAAAAGTGGTTTTGCTCAAACCTTGCTTTTCGTGATTGGCAATTTAAGAGAACAGCTTGCATCTGTGGAATTTTGTTTCCTGCAGAAACTGTTGTGATGTGATGTTGAACACAGCTTACAAGGACAGCAATTTGGGAAAACCTCAAGTGTATGAGTGGTTTTCTCATTTCCAAAGAGGTGAAATGTCAATTGTTGATAAAACTTCTTCTGGACTTCCATCAACTTGCTGAACAAATAAAATATTGACTAGTAGTGCATTTGAGTTTCATTCCACTAGGTCAAACTGTTCATCAGTTCTCTATTTAGAGCAGTGGTTCTCAACCTGTGGGTTGTGACCCCTTTGGGGGGTCAAATGACGCTTTCACAGGGGTCACTCAATTCATAACAGTAGCAAAATTACAGTTATGAAGTAGCAACGAAAATAATTTTATGGTTTGGGGGTCACCACAACATGATGAACTGTATTAAAGGGTTGCGTCATTAGGAAGGTTGAGAAACACTGATTTATAGGTTCTGAAAAGATTGCATATCAGTGTGTAACAAAAAAAGGCCTAATTTGTGGCAGATGGGGGACTAGTTTTGCAGCCACAACAATGCACCTGCTCATGCATCCATCTCATTGTGCATATTTTTGGCAAAAACCAGCATGCCTCTCTTGTCCCATGAACTTTACTTACCTGACCTCACTCTGTATGACTTCCTTTTGTTTATGTGAATGCAGAGGAACAAGAAAGGACAGCAATTTGAAGGTGAAGAGGTGAACAAAAAAATGAGGGAAGTGCTGCTAGCCTTACAAACAGATGAATTTGAAAAATGTTTCCAAGAATGGAATCGCAGTTGACTAATGTATTACGTGTAATGGAGAGTGATTTGAATGTGATAAGGTTGTTTTGTAAAAATAATATAAATACATAGCTTTGAAAAAATTCAATGTCGGAGGGGGTACCCCCTCATATATTTGAGCATTTCCCTTAGAATAGTTCTACAGATAACTCTTTCTTTGCATTATTCCCTATTAATTATTAAACAAGAGCAGACTGCTTCTAATTACATCTTTATATTAAATCTAACCATGATTTTTATGCTATACCAGTGAAAAGCATGTTTGTATTTGAAAAATGTATAATTAAATCGTGCTAGTATTTCATCATCATCATCAGTAAACAGTTTGATATAAAAAGACGTTTCCCCAGCTATGTCCTCCCTAAGATAGGCCAAACATTAGTGGCTTTTTGCCAGCACTTGGTGGGAGGTCAGATGCATTCAGCCTTCAGACTACTGTCTGGTCCCACCACAGGTGGGGCCCACTCCCTGCTGTTAAGGACAATGGATCACTTCTCCCCAAAGGCGGTCAGCCAACAGTCTGGTCCACTGTAAGTGGGGTTCATACCCTACTAATGGTTTCTATGTAGAGCCAGAGGCTGCCTCCCTGAATCTAGGATCCGCCCATCTTGTCACATGTGTACCCTAAATCCCCTTCCTATTGCATGTATACCCCTAGATCGTCCCCCTCTCATCATTGTATTACCTATAGCACAACCCCTTCTTGTGACATAGGTCTTTTCCTGTAATTAGGGGGCTTGTATGCCCCCCAAAGATATATAAGCCTTGGTTAGCAGTGAATCTCTCTCTCTCTCTCTCTCTCCTGGTCATCACTCCCCAAGTCCTCACTTTCCTGTCCCTCTCCCTTTGTCCTCTCTCCCCTCCTCCTCTCTTCTGCGCTCTCTCTCTCTGCTGCCCTGTACCACCAAGAGAAGCTGAGGTGAGCATGCTACAATGATATGTGTCTGACTCCTTTATTTCAATCTCTCTTCTATCCCTCATATTTTCTATGACTTTACTATAATCCTTACTTATTATCACTGTACAATTGTGCCTAACGGGTCTGTAATGATTTGTTAGGGGCTGGCTACCCTGATAAAACACTATGTTCATGTTAGGAGATGAATTTGCATAAAACACCAAAACTCTAAAGGTGACTGTGGTTTAGTGAAATTTATTTTTTCATAAAGTTTTATTGGCACGTAATCCATAAATCAAAAAATACAGCAGTTCAATCATATTAAGAAGAGTTGTACAGTCATCATCATAATCAATTTTAGGACATTTTCTTCATTTTTGTACTCATGATTATTAGGTCCCCATTGCCCTTCAACTTTTCCTGCCATACCCCTAAGGAACCATTGATCCAGTTACTGTCACTATAGATTTACTTATCTTGGATCTCATCCCCACACAATTGTTTTTAAAATGACATAACTATATTAACTATATTAAATGAAGTAACTATGTAAAACAGAGGGGAAACTTCAGTGGAAAAGAAATCAAAAAGTGTTAAAACCTAGAATAAATTTAAAATGGGTTGAAAGGTTGATCAAATGAGAAGGTGCAAAATTTGAACCTACCTACATATGCAATAATCCAGTTTCTAATGCTTTCTGCAAAATAACAAGGCTATTTTTATTTTATTTCTATGGTCAGAGGGGATTTAGCAGAGGTTTAATCACATGTAGTTCCCTTAACTTTTTAAAATTGAAACAACTTTATCCAAAGGGAGGCCCAATGATAAGGTATTACATTTTAACATAACTATGTCTGACTTTACAATGCTCTCTGTATGATAACAAAGCTATTCACATCCCTCAATTATGGTCAGAGGGGAGATTCACCAAAGGCGTAATCTATGTGTGGACCTTGCAAATGGACTTTGAGCTTGCACTATCATCTGTAGCCTTCTGCAAACCAGGTGTTCACAATTTATGTTCTAATTACCATTCCCTCCTTTGGATTTGGATTTTATTATTCACAACCTTTGGATCATAAGGGCTGGAGTGTTTCTTTCTTTTTCTCCCTGCCCCCACCTTTTATCAGGGGAGAAAGCAAACAAAGTTCCCCACTACCACAAATTATGCAGCCGAGTTTCCCATATTTGGGGAAATCACAAGGGTCAGCATGACTGGAGTGCAATTGATAAGCCTCACCATGGGAAAACCACCTTCATGATAATGGTATTGACCTTGCCAGGTAAGTGTAAGGAGTGCTTCTTTCATGTGGACTTAGTTGATGCTTCACTTAGAAGGCTGTTTGAAGACAAGCCTTCAAGACATTAGACAATTCATTTTGATAATATGACTCTTGTAATATTCAAGCCTCTGTAATTCCCACCAACTGACTGTGTGTGACTATGCCAATAGGGTGTATGTGTAACAGTAATAGAGGGGCTTGGTTCTTTTTTTTGGTACTGTGTCCTCCCCGCCCC